CATTGTGATTGTCTAGTTATTGAGCTATACCAACCATATTATTCTAGCAAATGTAGTGACCTCTGTAGTAGGAAATGGTCAAAGGAAATTGACTTCAAAAAAACACACTTCTATCTAATAAAAATTCTTTTATCATTTTAGAATAAATTTTATTTTAAATAGTATATTAGAATATACTTTACCTTTGCCTTACAGTTACTCTTTCATCACTGTAGTAACTGCAAACAGTTGCTAAACGAGGCACATGCTAAATGAGGAGAAAGTTAGATGTGAGAAGACTAATGTTCTGCAACTTTTGGTATCTTCCAGCTTGTCTATGATGGAATTCCTAAAGGAGATCTGCACCAGCGTGAGCTGCATCTGAGTGTCCTGAGCGAAGAGGGCTTTTGGGAGAACATCCTCCTTGGCGAGGTTATAATCAGACTACGAGATTTAGATCTCACACAGGAGAAGATGGGTTGGTTTGAACTGGGCTCTAGGACCCATGGGATCATGTGAGAAGCAGGAAGGCAGCCTTAGCTTCTTTGGAACTACTTTGGCCCATGGAAGTCCCTGGGAACTAGTGCATGTTCCAGGAGTTGTATCCTGGTATAAAACTCGAAGGATTTAATTTTCTACGAATAAGAAGATGGACATTTTGTTTCTGTGCAAATGAAGAGTTAATTTCCTGTGGAGAGTGAACATTGGGGTTAAGTCATGATAGGAAATCCTATGACTTGAAATGGCTGCTGTAGACTTTTATCTTTGAATACATTTACCTTGTGTCAAGGGAGCAATGACTTAACTGAGGGGGAGGGTTTAAATATTAAAGGCTTCCCCCTCCCCTTTGAGATATTTTTTAATTTTTTTTTTAAACAATTTGAGGCCAGATGTGAATTGTAGGATGGAATCTAGATGGAGAGGAACTTTGCAGAGTAATGAATGTTATAAATTAAGTTCTTATTGGACTTTCATAAGGTATTTTTTATTTTAAAGGAACATGCGCATAAGTATGTGTGATGGGTTGGGAGATATGTGGATTCAGTATGAATGGAAGATTTAAACCCTTATCTCTGGGACAGGAGCTAGTGTGCTCCAACACAAGCCATCATGGAGACATTGCTTCCAAAGGAGAGCAGTAGTACTTGCACAAGCGTAGAATTTACATTTTTGATTTCTTATGATATGTAATCTAAAAAGCATGCTCTCCTGGATAAACATCTGGACTTATTTGGAGAGGGCAGAAGGCAACTCTATTGTTGATTGCAACCATGCAGAAACAACAGCCTTGACCTTAACGTGACTAAAAGCGATGTCTTATTTTTCAATCTTAGCTTTCCTAAATTGTCTCTTACATATATGGTATTCTAGTCAGTCTCAAGAGATTGGATGGGATAATTTTGCTAAGTCTTAAAAGCAAAGAGTTTTTCATTTACCCAAGCTAGAGAGTCATTGATTTCCTCTTTCATAATCACCAGTATCAAAGAACTGATTCTTTAGATTAGCCAAGAATCCCTTTACCCATCAATTTGTAAAGCATGGTCATTTATTACCAGGCTACTTAATTGAAATAAATAACATATTAATGAGTCTTTAAAACTTTTATTCATCACAGGCATTTCTTCCAAGATTGCAAGTGAGAGACAAAGTGGGTGAAACTTCTGAAAGTATTTGTGTTTATGACATTGTAATAACTCTCTAAAGCTGTTGGCAGTGACAAATTGCATTGTTGCCCTTTCTCCAAGAAGTAAAACTTTATAAAAATGATGTGGGGTTTGGGAAATTACCAACTATGAAAACCGTTTTTTCTTAAGAATAGATAATTGCTGTTGGGTTTTTTATTGTTATTAATATTTTTAAAAGAGGCAAAGAGTTTTTCCACATCAAAAGAACTTCTACACCACTTCCTTGCCTCAATGCCTACCATCTTCTAGCTCTTGCTGAACTGTTTACAGCGGGAACTCACCCCCCCAAAAAAAAAAATTGGCATGTTTCTCAGGATATGAAAATGTGAACTCTACTTTTTTTTTTAACTTAGTTATTCTGCCAAATTCTATTTGGAGGAAAAAGCAAACTTGTGGGAGAAATCATTTTTGTTCACTTTTGAGCTGAAGGCTTCTTTTTACTTTCTGTAATGATGTAACTGGATTTCAAAGAGACAACTACATGAATGAATTTGGGGCATGGCCTTATATCTTCCATTCTATAGGAAATGAGATAAAGGTGGCATCTTATGAATACCTGTGTCTTTCTACGTTGTAAAATGGTGATGTTGGAAATAAATAAAGGAATTGGAATGCAATAGAGACTAGTATATCCATTTTAGTAGCAAAAGGATTGGAAATATATATGCATTTTCAAATAACTATATCATCAACACAAAATATTGTAAGATTTCTTCCAATGCATTGTAAAAATGGTTGAACTATAGCCCATTCTGTTAGAAAAGTAAGAATAGAAAATAGCTCACCCCAACTATTGTTTCCCTACTTTAGATACATTTAGAGAAAATACTTTAAAATTACATGAAGAAATTACATTCCTAATTCCTCATTCATAGTATTCTCTTGTATAAAACAGAAGCTAAACACTTGGAATAGTTCTTCATGAAAACAGAAATTTACAATTTTCCTTGAAAAAGAGTTTTCCATATAAATAGAATCAACAAAGAAACAATAACTCAAGAGTAGATGTCTGTGGTGTTTATGATCCTATTTTTGATTCTCTGATTAATGATGGCTCAGGATATGACAAGAAAGTATTTGAATTTCTTGGTCATTTCACTTCCATTTTCCCTAGTTTCAACACTGGAAAAGAGCTGTGCCTCTTTATACCAATGCATTCTTATATTCTACCCTTAGCTATGCTATGTCTATGTAAAATGTAAGAAGCCTGTCTCTCTGGAGCTATATTAATGAAATAGTTGAATCATACCTTCTTATATTACTTTTTTTCTGAAGAGATGCCCAAGGGACATTGATAATACCTCACATTCAAACACTTCCTCACATTATGATGAAAGCCATGTTCAACATTATCTGATCAAGATTTTGGAATACACAGGGGTAAGTTTGCAGTAGCAGCCTGAAAAAGAGACCAGCAAAACAGGTTTTCTAATCTCCCTATGCTCTAAGATAGTTTTAAGAATAGTTTGCAATAGGGTTTTATTATCTTTGCCATTCCAAATTGCCCCCAATTGACTTAGTCATTTTACCTCTTCTTTGAATAAGACTAAATGATGTGTTTTACATTTTAATTCTGTTTTGATATTATTGTACTATTATTCTGATCAGTAACCATGATAAAGAGTAACTGACATATGCTGCTGGAGGCAACTTGCCCATTCACAAAAAGATTGCTGCCCATAATTAGTTAAATGTTGCCTGCCACTGCCTCTATCTTTCCTGAAAGTTATTGCCTTTTATCCCAAATTGATTTTTTTGTCTTCTTGGATAGGTGGGTATAAGAATAAAATACTAAGCTGCATGTGATTAGCAATTTACAGGTAGTCCTCAACTTATGACCCCAATTGAGCCCAATATTTAAGTTGCTAAGTGAGAAATTTGTTAAGTGAGTTTTGACCCATTTTATGACTTTTCTTGCCACAGTTAAGTGAATCACTGCGGTTGTAAATTAGTAACACGGTCGTTAGGTAAATTTGGCCTCTCCATTGACTTTGCTTGGCAGAAGGGGATCACACGACACCAGGACACTGCAATGGTCATAACTATGATGCAGTTGCCAAGCATCTGAATTTTGATCACATATATAGATAATGTAACAAATTGCCTATTCCAGGTTTCTCAACCTTGGCAGCTTTAAGATGGGTGGACATCAACTCCCAGAATTCCCCTGCCAGTGACCCTGGCCTAGTCTTGTATTGGAAGATACTGTGCTTTTAAAAACTGTATACCAGTGGATATATTAATAACTGAAAACACAGCATCCCAACCACCAAAATCAAAAAATTTTCCCCTTACAGAATTTAACTCAAAAGAACAAAAAGCACATTCTCTTCTTTTTAACATTCAACATCTGACTGTACCTTTTGGGGATCCTTCAGTAGTAGTAGAGTATCTTTATCAGTGCAATTTATACAATTTTTACAAGTTACAAGAAGAAAATTAAAAGCTTTTTGGTTTGCTTATATTGTAGAAATGTGGGATGATTTTTATGACTGACACAAGGCTCATCTAAGGTTGTGTTAATTACCTAGCAACATAATGACACCTATAGCATTGATTGCACAGCTATTGCAACAGTATTATAACATAGGAAAATAAAAAACAATAATAATGGATAATTCCAATGACCCTCTTGGCCATCATACAAATTTTCCATGAGTTTGAGGTTCATCCCAGGCTTTATGTGGCATGTTAACATCTGCACTCCAAAAATGAGTACGGTTGAGATTCATCTGAGGACATATTAAATCTTTTAAGTGGTAAAATATATGCCGTAGATTATTTTGTCACTTTAAACTACCTCCAAACTTCAAGAACGGCACAGAAGGGATGCTAATAGATCACACTTTTTACTCCCTATATACTTGATTTAATTAATATTGAATTTTTTTCTTTTTAAGGCAAGTGCCTAGTCTCTAAGAGAGATAAAAAGGTCAGTGGTATACTTGTTATTTGATATGTATGTAATTAATCCACAATAATAGAAATGTGTTTTCTTAAACATATCCTACAAATTCTGCAAGTTGATGTTTAATGAATGAACATACTAATCAGAACATAAGGAGGATGTCTCGAATTAAAATACTGACTGAATTTCCTAATTATCTAGTGAGGTCTAAATTGCAAAACAGCTTATAAAATTGAATAAAAGATTTTACCCGATTCTATCCAGGCCTTTAATATGTCTTTTTAAATTGTTGAATTAGTAATGTATACACTATGTATCTGTGTATCAATGTCTGAATATATCATTCTTTGAAATGCTTACACATACTCACATATCTTTAGTGAATAATGAAATTCAAAAGTAACTTGACAAAAAGTATCAGTCTTGCATAAATGCAGCAAAGAATTTAATCCAACAAGAAAAATATGTGCATTCTTTGATAAGCTGCCAAAATATTCTCCTAAGGAAAGGTAGATATAATTAAAGAAGTCACAGATCGAAAGAAAGTCAAGTTTCACATTGTGGAAGAAATATCCCAGTCCAGGTCCAGGTCCAGATCCAAGCCGGGAGAAAGCCACTGGAAAGAAAATGGAGGCTGATTGGAAAGAAAGGTTCCCTTTATTGATCAAGCAGAACCACCAACCACATGTGATTCGGGGCCAGCCGACCAAATAGAGTTGAGAGTGGGTGGGTTTTTATGCCTTCTGGATTCCTATGGGGTCATGTAGCTGGTCATGGCTGGCTCTATAGGCAAAAGGGGAAATGCAAATCCTAGGTCCGTGATGGCGAACCTATGGCACGCGTGCCATAGGTGGCACACGGAGCCATATCGGTGGACACGCGAGGTCAGCTCTGGCGTACATGTGTATGCCGGCCAACCAATTTTCGGGCCTTCTGGGCCCACCAGATGTAGGGAAACAGGCCGTTTCTGCCTCCAGAGGCCTCTGGAGCCTAGGGAGGGCGAAAAACGGGCCTACCGGGCCCACTGTGCCATCACGTGCCAAAAGCGGGGGGAATGTGGATGGATCACGCACGCATGTTTGGGGGGGCGCATAGAATTATGGGTGTGGGCAGGTGCACGCGCGACCCCCCGCACTCCCCCCACTTTTGGCACACGATGGCAAAAAGGTTAGCCATCACTGTCCTAGGTATTTGTCTGAGCTAATTCTGTCAACCTTTTGTTGTTGCTTATCCGAGTTTCTGTCTTGACCCAGTCTTTATGAATGGATTACCAAACCTGCATTTCTAAAAGCTGGCCTCTTCAGTTTCTGTTTGGGGCAGGGAAACTGGGACTGGTTTCTGCCTCGCATAAGATTTTCCTCATTTCTTATTTAGGGGAAATATTCTATCCTGCCTTTTTAAATATTTCCCAAAATATTCCTCCTTCTAGGAGGGGGGAGTGGCTTCCTACAACATCTATTAGTATATTTTTTTGGTAAGATGGAAGGTTTATTATTTATTTATTTATTTTATTTATTTATTAGTTTGATTTATATGCCGCCCTTCTCCAGGGACTCAGGGCGGCTTACAATGCTTTTAAGCAATAGCCTTCATACTTTTGTATATACCTGCTTAGTAGGGCTTTTTGGCCCCCACAAACCGGGTCCTCATACAAAGTCAGCTTATTGCCCCCACAAACCGGGTCCTCATTTTACCTACCTCGAAAGGATGGAAGGCTGAGTCAACCTTGAGCCTGGTGAGAATTGAACTCGCAGTAATTGCAGGCAGCTGGCAGCTAACTACTACTTTAACAGTAGTTTAGTTCACTGCGCCACCAGGCTCTTCAGATATTACAACTATCTCATTAGATTTTTAATGCATCAACTAAATTCTGAGATTAAAAAGCATGTAATTAGTGCTTGCCTAATCGGTACTATCATTTAACATACCAAAAGTATGTCAAAATCTCAAAGTATTTTGCGGAAATGGCTTATTCTTTAAACATTTCATAAATTTTTATTATGCGGGTCTTGTATATTCAGAACAAGTTAATGTTCTGAATATTTTTCTAACCATATGTTTAAGATTGTAACAAAGTAATCTGGGTGTAGTGGTTAAGGCACCAAGCTTGAAAGTGGGAGAGCATGAATTCCTGCCTTAGGCATAGAGCCAGTTGGGTGACTTTGGGCCCATCATTCTTCTCAGGCAATGGCAGATCACTTCTGAAATCTTAACAAGAAAACTGCAGGGACTTGTCAAGGCAGTCACAAAGAATCAACACCAAATGAAATACACAAAAGAAAAATTTAAATATCACTGGAGTTTGTTTTTTAAAAAAACTACATTGGGATGATAGCTTTAAAATATGGTTCTCAGTAAATAAAGAAAATATGCAAAATCTCCAGCTGCACACTAATTTTTAGTAGAAGCAGAATAGTGAATTCAAATAAACTTTGATCTAAAATCTCAATTGATTCTTTGCTATCTCTGAAACAAGGTTAGCTTATCTAGTGGTTCCACCAAACTAAACAACCTTTGAGGTCTTGTCTACTACTATCTTATTATTATTTGCTGAGCAACCCAACCTTTGCACCAATTTGTAAAATTTTGCAAAACTTCCTAAACTTTTCATATAAAGGCTTCACAGGTTTGCACAATGTCAAATTATAAGGCATGATTACAAATCATAATGGCTAGATCATGTTCTGACTTAGCAGGGTGTATGAACCAGGCCAACTCAAGACATAATATGGGCGGTATGTTTTGGCTGCCTGTGTTATGTGACCACAACAATGGTTTATTAGCCTGGTTTAGAGCTTGAAGTGTTATATGAACACAGCCTATGTGTTCACCTGCAAGTAGCAGCAAGAAATAAAACACCCAACTCCATTTAGAAATGGACTTGGAAATCTGGGTGAGAAGTAGAATTCTGTAACATTTTGCAATGAAGTGCTCCAATTCTGAATGCTGGTAAACTCTCCAGCAATCCTGATGTATAATCTGAGAACAAATCCAATGTTCGGTTTTCCTGCAACAGTTGTGGGTTTCTCCTTTCTTTCCCCAAACATCTTGGGGATGGTCTCATTCTAACTGAAGAAAACAACAGAAGATGTAGGTAGGATATCTCCTAAATTGTTTTCGGCAAAGGTAGCAATCAAATTTTCTTGAGTCAAGCGAAACTATAAAGTTTACACTGAACGATATGCAGGACGGAATGTATCGCCCACAGTGTGGAAGGAATTGCCACTCTCAAATTGGCCTTTTTAGTCACTCCACATGCTGTTTTAGGACCTCTTTCCAGAGCATGATACCATAGTCTTTTGAGACTGAAGGTTGGTAATGCAATGCAATGCAGGACTTCACTATAATTTGCTAATTGTACTGCTTCTGATCCTTCATTACTTTAAAAAAAAACTACTGGCTGATGCAATCCTGGGCAGTGGCAACCTCCCAATTAGCCCTATTCCCTCTCGACCGGAGGCGGGGCTACGTTTGACTAATCGCAAACTGTCAAAGGATGTCTAGATTACCCGGATGGTGATGGAAGCCCCACCCACCTCACTGCTTCTCTTCTTGAAACTGTAAGAGGCTACACTTTTTTCCTCCTCGCCACGAAATGGGCGCCTGCGCGTTCGCTCCCTCCTGAAAAGGGTCTTCCGCCCTCAGCCTTAACTGCTCTTTCCCTTTTCCGACCGCCGCCATTTTATTCCTCTCGCGGAACGTGCCGTGAAAAGCCAAAAAGGGTCGCTGCCATTCGCTGAAAAAATGGCATGGCCCAGCTCGGGAAGAAGAGGCCTTTTCCCGCTTAGAAATCCCACAACTGTCACAGGCCGACAAAAGCGGCCTATTCATCTCGGGTGGAAGCGCTGAGGTAAGGAAGCACCCCACCCATGGAGCCCCTGAGGGAAGGAGAGCAGGCGGCCTCTCGCCTTAATGCTTGCCCGCCCTCGTTGCCGGCCCCTCAGCCCGACGCCCCGTTTTCACTGCTGCGGCTGTTGTCACAGCTGCTGCAGCGCCTCCTGCCCGGTCCTATCAGTCCCCTCTTCTGGCTGCCTTCCGAGGTCCACGCCACCGCGCCGGAGACTTCGGTGCCAGTGTGGGAGACGCCCGGCCTGCCTCCGATTTTGGCCGTTCAGCATCAGCTGCGCGTGGTCTCTACCTCCTACGTGCTGGGGGGCACCGACAAGAACAACTCCGTGGCCGGACCTCTGCGAGCTAAGTTTCCCGAGATCTTGCAGCCGTCCCCGTGGCAGCCGCATAAAGCCGTTCTCGACGAGCCAGACACCGATTGCGGCTACCACAGCTTGGAAGTCGAGGAGCAGCTGCGGGAGGCCTGGGCCCCAAAGGAGCGTGGTGGGGAAGCCCAAGAAGAGCGGGATCCCGCGAAGGCTTCTCAGTCTCTGGATAGAGACGGCGTTGAGCGGAAAGCGGCTGTGGAAGTTAGCTCCGAGGTAGAACCCGACCTCCCGGTGGTGGCCAGACCGGCCTGTCCTAACAAGTTGATCGATTACATTCTGGGGGGCGCCTGCAGCGGGGATGAGAGCGAGGAGGAGGACAACGATGAAGACGAGGAGGGGGAGGATTGGTATGAGGAAGAGGAGAAGGAAGACGACGACGATGATGGCTTTGACAGTGAAGGATCCCTTTCAGAGTCGGAAATAAGCCAAGATGGAGAAAGCAATGATCTGTGGAACTCTTTCTGTAGCCCCGATCCATACGACCCGTGGAATTTCACGGCAGCTATGCAGACTGCTGAGAATGTGGGAGAGGAAGGGTCTACAGGAGAGTCAAATGAAGGCGAGGTGGTAGAGGAATCTTCCTCATGGAGTGAAAGTTCTTGTGAGGAAGATGAATGGGAGTCTGGTAGCCTAGATGAATCTGAAAATTTGAAATTGTGGAATTCTTTCATTAATTTGGACGATCCTTATAACCCTTTCCATTTTAAGGCACAATTTCAGACTGCAGGAAAGAAAGGGAAAAGTGACTTGAAAGGATCGAAGGGTTTAAGCCTTAGCCCCTCTCAACGTAGTATCTTGCTTAGCTGTCAGCTTCACCTGTTTGATAATGGAGGCACTGAAAATTCGAGGTATGGCATCCTCTCTAGGGAAAAGTGTAAGAAGAAGAAAAAGGTATGATTACTTTTTACTTGTATATTGTTAACGTTGGGAGAGATTCTTTCAATAGTGCATTCTGGGATATGCAAAAATCTGGGATAACCTTTGCAAAAGATAAGCGTATGGTTTAAGTAATGGATTGAACTTTTAATGAAAGTGCATTATCCCAGCTCCTAGTAAATTGCTTCATTGTTTTCAGATTATAAAGCCCTTTTTTTGAGAGAGAGATTTGGCCTCAGGGATCCAAGATGTAATAGCTAAAGTTCTGTTTGCTAATACAACAAAATAATAATTAAAAAGCATTTAAAAATTTCAAGTATTTTGAGATCTTTCTTAAAGAAAAATTAGACTCCCCCTTTCATATGCTCTTAAGAATACTTGTATTTTAATTACTTTATTTTGTTGATTTAATTAAAAATCAACAAATGGGGCATTTCATGCAAAAAAAGCCAGGCTCTTTGATTTAAATGGGGATTCTCTCATACTATGTACAAATTTTCTAGAACAAAATCACAATTCAGCTGCTTTGCTTTTTCTGAGGCCATATTAAAAGATCTCTTCCCTCCTTCCTCCAGCTGATGTGTTATGGAGGTGGTACCATCTAGTGCAAGTTTGTATGTTTTTTTGCAGCTGCCTGCTCTTGATAACTTGTAACTCCATTTGGTAAAGCAGTGATCAGATAATATAGTGCTTAAAGTACTTCTGTGTGGTTGAACACATGAAATTCCCTAGGATGACTTTCAAATTTTTCAAAAGAGCATTTAATTATATTATTTAGTCATACTTGAAATAGAATATTCTGCAAAAGTCATTGTGGTAAATTGCTCTTAGATTGACAAAATGGAATTAATGTTTTTTATCTGATATATAATTTTAGTCTTGAAAATTAATGTTCATTGCAGTGTTTCTTTTTATAAAGAAAAATAACAGCATATGTAACATGATTTTAACATAAGGGATCTACTTTTTATTAAGACAGTTATAATCTCTTAACCCTCAAGAAATACAAATCGCACCTCAACTCCAGTTTTGTAACCTAAAGTAGGGTTAGAAATGGTGATTGGTCAAAGAGCATCCAGTGAGCTTTATGTCTGATGTCAGCGTTAAATATGTTTTTATATACAGACACATTAACTGGACATGCTTATCCAGTTGTAGACATTCTGGTGTCTGCCACATATTTTGAACTATGACTACTATATGCTCTAGTTGACATGACAGCTGTTGGGAATATCCTGAATTATCCAAAACATGTTATTTTTGCTTTAACCACTAGTTTGCACTAGCTTTTATGAAGCAGTATAGTGGAGTACTGTAAAAAAAATGAAGTTAATGATTTACTGCTTATAATTTAAATATATATGGCCCATTGATGGTGCACTTCTAGAACTCTTTGTTCCCCTTGGTTGATAGATTAATCTTATGATTTTTATCCTATTCTAATGATAATTTAGCATTTTTGCCATTTTAGTTTTGCCTTCTGTATTAAATAATACAGCTTGTATCTACCATAATTTATATTGTCTAGAACTAGAAGGAATAAAGATGTCATAAAATAACATGTTTTCAGAAATTCCTAAAGATGTAAAATTGTGTATTTTAGATTATTCTTCCCTGTAAATCATTCGGTGACTACTTTCAAAACAAATTTCAAGTCCCTTGTGTATCTTTCTAGTGACAAGAAAATTAATGAAGATCTGTATGCAATATATAGCATAATATTACATGACCTGGTAATGGTACCCTAGAGAAAATTGTAGCATGATGTAAAAGGCAAGAAAGGATAAGGCACAGAGGGAGAAGCTGATGTAACTTATCATTTTGTATGAAGGTACTATCTTGGAAGTGGAATGATTTTATGCATAACCCTAGTGCTACATTAAAATGCCAAGTAATATAGGACAAATTGTTTTAGGACCACTTAAATACAAGCTTTTGACCGGTTTACAAAAGAAGAAGTGAGAAAGATTGTTAAGCAAAGTAAAGTAGGTAAAGGTAAAATTGTGTTCTGTTAATGAGGAAAGGGAGAGGAATTACGATAATTCTTGGTTAGATTTTTGCTGTTTTAACATTTTGATGGACCAGTACTTTAATATACTTTGTCCTGATTCCTTAAATGGCTTAATTGCAATAAACTTTAATTGCTATAAACTGAGGGTTCTTTTTACAAACAAATGTCATATATAACTCTAGTGCTTTTATAAATCATTTGAGCTTAACATGGAAGAAGCAACAAATCAGGTCAAGTCATAAGTTAATTTAGGAACAATAGCAATAGACCACAGAACACAGCCTACTTCTTGGCAAGATAGAACAGTATCACCACCAGATGGATTTATAATTGGCTGGTCAACGGCACTCGGCATGTAGCCCTTAATTGGAACTACATCTACATGTAGAGAAGCATGCAGTGGGGTACCTCAGGGTTCTTTCTTGGTCTCAGTGCTCTTCAGCATCTTCATAAATGATATAGATGAGGGGATTAAAGGGGATCTCATCAAACTTGCAGATGACACCAAGCTGGAGGGAATTGCTAATGTTTTGAAAAGATAGAATCAAGATTCAAAAGGATCTTGACAAACAAGAAAAATGGGCCTTTCCAATAAGATGCAGTTCAGTGGTGAGAAAAGTAAGATCCTGCACTTAAGCAGAAAAAACTAAATACCGTATAGAATAGATAGTATCTGGCTCAATAGCAGTAACTGTGAGATGGATCTAGGTTTAAGTGTGCTACAGTTGCCAAAAAAGCCAATGCAGTTCAAGGCTGCCTTAACACAGGAATAGCATCAAGATCATCAGAATAGTGCCACTTTATACCACACTAGTGTGGACTTGGAATACTGCATCCAGTTGTGATCATCAAGATACAAAAAAAAAATGCTGGGACCCTAGAAAGATGGTCCAGAGAAGAGCAACAAAGATGATAAGAGGTCTGGAGGCTAGACCATAAGATGAACAGTTGTGGGAACTATATTTAGGCTAGCAAAGAGAAGGTGACACGATACCTTTCTTCCAGTACTTGAGGGACAATCATAGAAATGAGGGAGTTGACATATTCTCCTGAGGACAGGACAAGAAGCAACATGTGGAAACTTGTTAAAGAGAGAACCTACCTGGAACTAAGAAATTTCCCAACAGTGGGAGCAATTAAGTATTAGAACAGCCTGCCTCCCAGAGTTGTGAGAACTCTTTTGCTGGAGGTTTTCAAGAAAAGAGTGGACATTTATTTGTCCAGGATGGCATAAGGACTTTCTGCCTTGGGCAGGGAGTTGCACCAGGGTCCCTTCCAGCCCTATGATTCATAGTTGAGAAAAATTCATAGCATATCAGAGTATACATCCAAACACAGCCTATTTTTTTATGTGAAAAGTTTCTGTGTAGCAGATAACTTTAATAAATAACTTAGCAAGAAAGTAGTAACATCATGTAAATATTAGATTGTACCACAGCATAAACACCAAATTAAATATATATTTTATACAAGAATCTCTTCCACAATGGCATAGTAGAATTAAAAAA